GGGTTTGAACCGCCAGCCGTCTGGTTAGCAGGCAAGTGTCTTAGCCACTATGCTACCAGAGCTCCCCCTGCTTTCTTGGTTTAACCTAAGAAGGAGCCTTTGGCCCACTTATTAGACTAGAGAGTACGTACAGGCCTTCCCTCTTCAGTTTGTTTGTAGTCACCTTCTTCTTCCAAATAGATCTTAGGGAACTTTATTTAATATCCACTGTGGCCTCTTCCCTAGGAGTTGACTCAAACTTCTATAAAGTGTGCTTGGAAAAGCATGGTTTGCCATGGTGGTAAGTAACATCAGAGGCCAGAAGTATTGCTATGCAAACTTACCTGTTACAAATTGTTTATTAGAAATGTTTTTGCTATATACCATAACAGCATTTTGGCCCTTCCCAGTGATACTTCTCAAAGGATGGTGAAATCTTAAAAATGGCCCACCCAACAAGAAAGCAAACTGTGGATAGAAATACCACTGATGGTATTTCTGCTAAAGGATCCTGTCTGTTAGGGAGGGGAGGTAACTGAGGGTTGGCAAAGCAACAGAGACCCCATGGCAAGTTGTCAGTGATTTAGAAGGAATGAAATGGTGTTTTCTGCCTCCCTCATTGAAGTGTGATCTGCTTCCAAGGACAAAAACCTCAGGTGAGAGGACAGAGACATCATCTCTTTGTTTGCACTGGGCAGCATCCCCCACCTGCAACAGGCCATAGAGAAGGAGAAAGCCTGATGTGATATTTGAGTATCATGTTTCCCCCACTCCCATAGGCTGTCATCTTTACAAGAGCAGATGGCCAGGTCTTTTCTTCTGCAGAGCTGCTGGTGGGTTTGAGTTTCTGACCTTTCAGTTAGTAAGCCAAGAGCTTAACCATTGCACCACCAGGGCCCTGTGTAAATTTCAAGAACAAATGCATAATGACCAAATGGTCTTTTGCTTCTCCATCATCTATCAATTTTCTAACCTGGAAGAAATGTAAGAAATTGACCTATCCCTTACCCCTTGGCTAGAAAAACAGAGAAACATCAATGGGAGGAGAATTGTTCAGAACACAGGTTGTATTTCAAGCTCTTAAACCATTTCAATAGGGAGATTTGCTCCTCATGAGTGTCTCAGAGACCTCAGATGCACTGCTTGTCAAGGGCCTGGCTCCTAAACGCTCCCTGACCAAAGTTCCAGACTTACCGGCTGCATTGTGCTGGTGATACTGGATCAGTTCAGGGATTGATTGGAAGACATGTCTTTCAGCCACGTAGCACTGCCCTGAGTCTGTCTTTTTAATCTGATAATGTTTAATGGTAGCCTCAGTACTTCTACAATCAATAAAATGTTAATTAGCAGATAGCAAAAGATCATTAAGCAACACAACTCCACCTCTAAAACTCTCATCCTAGCAAAACCATGCACTGGAGAGCAAATTGATTAAATTAAACAGGTGTCTTATCATCCCAGGAAAATTCCCCAGTTATCTTATTGGGGCTTCAGATTCAAACATAACCAGTCAAAGTTGTCTAGATGCCAAGTCCTGTGTCCAAAATATTAGAGCTCAAAATGGATAGTTACTAAGTATTATAGAATATTAAATATAGGTTAAATGAATGAACAAAGGCACTGTGAAATAGTGGAGATATGAAATAAGGAAGGAAAGAAAGGCAATATAGGGTATATAAAAACCACCATGCTTCTGCCAATGTGTGCTACTGCGATGGGTTGTGTATTGCTAAGATGCTGGAAGCTATGGTACCAATATTTCAAATTTCACCAGGGTCACCCATGGCGGATAGGTTTTAGTGGTTCTTCTAGACTAAGACAAACTAGAAAGAAAGGCCTGGTGATCTACCTCTGAAAATAGGCCAGTGAAAACCCTATGGATCACAATAGAATTCAGTGCTAGAAGGTGAGCTCCCTAGATTGGAAGGCACTCAAAATACAGTGTCTGAAGCAACGGACTCGAGCACACCCACAGTCATGAAATGCACAGGACATGGCAACATTGCTTTCAGTTATACATAAAGTTACCATGAGTCAAAGGAGTTTGATAGCAACTAACAATAATAAGCACCTTATGGACAACTGGGCTTCAATCCCTCTAAGAAATTTTGAGAGATTGTGTGGAACACATCCCAGAATTGACCCACTGAAGCATAAAGAAGGTGATATGTTTATCCACCAACTTCCATTCCCCACTGATGAGCATCACTCCTGGAATGTTAACTCTCAAGAAATTCTAGCCTCACCATGGGACCAATGAGCTCCCATACCCTGAGAACATCCTGGAAACTCTGGAGATAGGAGAAGACTATGAAGGTAAATCCCAGGGCAGACCAAGAATATGGAAAAGGTACCAACAGTGTCTGCTACAGCTAGCCTAACCCTCTCATTTGATGTATGAGAAAAGGGAGGCAAAGAGAGTTTGGGAAACGTATCCAATGTCACAGAGCTTATTAGGGATAAAACATGAACTAGTTAGGTGTCCTGTGTTTCAGGCAAAAAATGTTCTCCCTATGCTAGGCTGTCACTTGTGTATTCTATGTGATGGTATCGCCATAAAAAAAGATTATCCCAGTAATTGCTATTTCTAAAGTAACCAAAATCACAATTGCTTACCTTCCAGCTTTTACAAACACAGAAATTGTGTAAGATCCCAAATGTCTTGAATCTCTGACAATAAATGCACCTTCTTTAGACTGTAAAATAATTCATTCATTGTACAAGTTTATTCCTTTTTAGAAAGAAGAACCAACTCAATAATGAAAAACAAAGCCATGTTGACTTACTATAAAACATTTAACTTATTTTTATTTGTACTCACCATCTTTTCTCTTTTATGGATTTAGAATTCATATCTATATAAAAATTTATAATGTATGAGTATATGAAACCCTAATTTTTCTTTAAACATTCTGTATTTGACAGCCTTGTACTCTACCACTTGGCTATTTTTGCGATGTTAATCTGGATTAGAAATAAAAATAGATGACAGATAGAAAGAACTCAGACTGACAGAGTCATACTTTGAAAGACGAGAAACAATGTGACAGGTCAGAAGAAGGGAGAGAAAATATATCTGGAAAAGCAGAGAGTGGGCAAAGAGATGCATGAAAGGATGGTATAGTAGTTAAGTTTGTGTGTCAACTCGGCTTGGCCTGGTTAAGTGGCTGGGAAGCTGGATGTAGTATTCCCCATGATGAGACTAGTAATCAACTCCATGGTAGAATCTACTGTGAGCAGCCTTAGGGATGTGGTCTGTTTCCTGGATATAAAAAGAAGCCTTGGGGAACAGTGTCTAGCTTATGGCACGCTTGAACCCTGAATGTAGCTGCCATGCTCTGCCCATCTTGGGACTTTCAATGGACTTGAATTAATGGCCTGCTGTGTGGTTTGGTAACATGGGGACTGTGACATTTTATTTGTCAACCTTGGGGTTGTCAGCCTCAGCAGCTAGCAGCTGTCGGAGTGAAGAAAAGCTTCTAGCTTCAGTGGGCCAGGAGCAGGAGGCAGAGCTGAAGCCCAAGGCTGAGGGGCTTTCACCCAGCTCTTAGAGCCTGGCCCTTTGAACTTGGACTTAAAGCCTCCAAACGGTAAGAGAATAAACTCCTGTTTGTTCAAGCATCCCATTTGTGGTATATTCTTGTGAGAGTGGCACTAGGTAACCAAAACAGATGGAGAGAACAGATTTTGGGGAATTTGGAGAGAAAAGCTAAGGGGGCCATTTTAGTTGCAGTCAGGATATGGGAGAAGTGAAAAGAGAATTGTGGGGAAAGAATATTATAATAAGTTTTATATTAGGTTATGAAATGGATCTCCTTTGACAGTCTTTGGGAGACTCCAATGAAACTCTGATTTGTGTTTTAATTAATCTTGAAAGCTAGACTGCTTTGTTTTGTTTGTTTGATATTGTGAAAAGTTTCAGCTTTACTGAATATGCTTGAATCTTGTCAAGTCCATGAAAATACATAGGTGCCAAGTGCTGATAAGTTGCTGATAAGTTACCAAAGGACTGCACAGTCTAATCACCATGGTCTGACTCTCAAGGTGAACGTAACACAATAAGCTGAGTCTCAAACTTTAATTGAGATCTTAATGCTACATATTGTAAAGGACACAAGATGAAAAAATAAAAAACTCTTTTAACAAAGTTCTGTATATGGTGCATTCGTATATAATATATAGGTAGATAAATATATATCGCATACATAAAATAAAGTGGTATATAAAGTCAATTTCTCTAATAAAGTTTCAAAGTGGAAAGAATACAAACAAGATTATCTAGGCACAAGACAATAAAACTAGAAACTAAGAAAAAATCCAAGAATAAAGAACCCCTACAACCAGTACATTTTAAAATTCTCTTTTAAATCTAGGAAATTCAAATAAAAATGCAAAATATCTAGACAATAATAAGAAAACACTATTTATCAGGACCTCTGCTACACAATTCAAGCAGTATTCAGAAATAAATGCAGCCTTATTATTTTAGTAAACTAAAAGGAAAACAAGAGCATCCAACTCAATAAGTTAAGAACTTTAGAATAAACTCAAGTAGAAGAAATTAATAAAGTAGAAAAGAAAGTAATAAATCATGAATCATAAAAGCAAAAATACAATTCAACAAGTAATTAAGTTAAAAATCTGATTGTTTGTCGAGGAAACAATAAACAGATTAACTGTTAACTAACTTAAGAAATAAAAGGGAAAAATCTATCAAAAATAATAAATCATAAGGGAAAATAATCAAAGAGCCCCCCAAATTAAAATAATTCTCTCGACTGTACAAATAAATTTGAAAACTTGAATGAAATGGATGATTAAGTAAATATAAAATTTTCCAAATTGATTCCAGAAACTAGAAATCTTAATTGTGTCTGTGAACAGAAAAGTGAGTAAGACTTCTTAGAAAGCTACAAAAAGCAGCACCCTCACAGTTACACGTTATGATTCTACTAAATCTTAAGGGAAATAAAATAATATCCAGATTAATTAACTATTCCAGAGCAAATGAAAAGAAAAAACTTATAATTTTTTTTAATATAAAATGAGCGTAACATCAATACCATTTATTACATAGACACACACACACACACACTTCAGTTGAATCAAGGAACCAAATGCGAAAAGTTTATCTTTAAAACATTTAGAGGAAAATATAAAATACCTTTATTATTTTGAGAGAGAGGAATTTCTGACACTAAACTAAAAATGTACAGATCATAAAGGAAAATATTGAGAAATTAAATTTGACTGCTAACCAGAAGACTGGAGGTTCAAACCCACCAACCACTCCTTGGAAGGAAGGTTGGGCAATCTTCTTCCGTAGAAATACCACCTCCAAAACGCAAGGAGGGATGGCTATGAGTCGGATCCAACTCAATGGCAGTGAGTTTGCTTTGGTAACATTTAAAAATTTATGTAAGAAAAGAAAACAATAAAAATTTTTCAAAAGCCACAAAATGGGAGAATATATTTACAACACATACTAACAAATAATTGGTGTGCAGAATATATTTTTAATGCATAAAAACAAATTACAAGCATAATCACTTTATTTAAAAAAATAAGCAAAAGAAAATTAACTAGTAAGTCACAGAAAAGGATCCAATTGTCCAACAGATATATGAAAAGATGCTCAAGCTCACTGGGCATTAAGGAACTGTGCATTTAAAAAAATAAGTACCATTTCACAACTGCTGAATTGGGAGGAAAAAAAATGTGTGAAGCTGTGGGCACAAATGAAGGGAATCAATTTATTTTATTCTCTAGTCCCTGTAAGAATATAAATTAGTACAATCACTTTAAATCTTGATATGGAAATATACAGTAATGTCCAAGTCCTTGGATGGTGTAGTTAAGAGCACAGCTGCCAAGTGAATGTTTGCAGGTTTGAGTCCACCCAGAGGTGCCTTGGAAGAAAGGCCTGGTCATCTACTTCTGAAAAATCAACCACTGAAAACTCTACAGAGCACAGTTCTACTCTAATGTACATGGAGTCACTGTGAGTTGGAATCCACAGCAACTGGTAATAATGTTAAATATGTGCATAGCAAATAATCCTACTTCTGAATATAACCTAAAGAAACCCTCAGTCTTGTGTGCAAAATAGCATTTACAAGAAGTTCATTGCAGCTCTGCTTGTAATAGTAACAAGCTAGAAACAATTAAAATGTTTATCAATAGCAAAACCAAAACCAAATGCACTGCCGTGGAGTCAGATCCAACTCATAATGACCCCTTCTTGGGTTTCTGAGGCGGTATATCACTACGGAAATAGATTGCCCAACCTTCCTTCTGAGAAGTGGCTGGTGGGTTTGAACTGCCAGCCTTCTGGTTAGCAGTCAAATGCCTTAGGCATTACGCCACCAGAGCTCCCATCAATAGCAAGATGGATGCAATTATGTATATTCATTCAATGAAATACTTCAAAGAGTCAAAAGAATGTATCTGATCTATATGTAGTTATGTGGGTGAATTCTGAAAATATAATGTTTTTAAAAATTGACCTATATATGATCTCCTTTATGTCAAATCACAAAACTACACTATAGATATGATAAAATTCTGAACACATCCTTCTCATTGCAATTCCCTCTGGGAAGCAATGGAGGACAGATAAGATTAGGGGGTAGACTTGAACTGTATCCGTAATATTTGCTTTACAAATTGTGATAGCCAAATTTTAACATTTGTTCTGTCTGTATTGTGAGCATGTGGGGGGTTTTAGTCTCAATAGTCTCTATTCCTCATCTGAGTCAGGAGATCTGATCCTTGCTTTATTCTGGCGTCCTTTCAGACACAGACATCCTGATGCTGAACTGGCTCAGCCCAGTGATTTTGGCCTGTGACCCACTTGCTTCCTGTGCACCTACTCCTGGGCTTTCCTTCCTGGGCTCAGCCTACCTGTCATAATATCTTATTTATCCATGCTGGACTGACCAATATCACTTCACAGACAGTGAAGTGAAGCCAGGCCTGCCCTCCAGTCTCCATCCCCACCATCACCTGAGACTGGAGATGTCCTTCATCCTCTCTTTCCATTGTCTGCTATTAACTGGGCCTTCCTTGTGTCCTCGGCCATTACTGTCATTGGGTTTTTAGTTACGGAACTAACCTTTCACATTCACATTTTTAGATTTCCTCAATATCAGACAGATATCTCTTACCTAATTTCTAGTTTTGACTCTACATTTACCCACAGTTAATATTTACCGTCAGTTGGAAACTTAAACTATGTGCAGTTTTGTTTTGACATAAATGAGCAGTTTTGATCTGAGTAGGATATTTTGGCTACTCCATTCTTCCCTTTGTTCCCAAAGAACAAAGAAAGTACACCACCCTGTATTTTGATGTATTTGTGATTTTATTGAACCTAAGCTAAGCTCATGGGGATAGAATGGCACATTTCTTGCAAAGATTATGTGGGTGACAATACAGACTCAACCAGAAATGTATACTTTGCAATGAATGAAGGAATCTCAATGATTTAGAGTTGAAATCATTTCAGATGAAACACATTTCTGAAATTATGATGAAATCAATGGAAAATATGATCTGATACAAATACATCTGATTTACAGCTTTTCAGAAAATGTATAACCGACATGAAGTTGTGATAATATTGTAGAAGCAAAAACAACAGGATATAATAAATATTTTTGGTTGGTTAAAAATCTTTACAATGTACCTCTTTCAGAAATTTTGAATATATTAATAGATTTAGTCATGAATTAACTGAATTACCTCTTGTCTCAGTAGACGTTCTGCCTGATTTCTGGTAATGTTTTTATGGTACCACCTGTGAAAGCAATACAAAAAGATTTTAAATTTTGTAACTCATTTTTTTCAGGGGAAAAAAAAAGCTTACTTCATTTTTAACAACTTACTCTTGAAATGATTTTAGAACATTGTTTTTCACTCAGACAATAATGCTTAATTATGTGTTAATTATTTTATCTAATAATTTTATTAGTTTCAAACCAATATCAAGTTTGTTCTCTATATCTCAGTTCAACTTTCTTACACACATTTAGTATATCATTTTGGAATGATTTAATCTCCTGCACATATCCATGAAATTTACGTGGTTATGAAATCATCATCTTCAGCAAACACTTCACTGAGCTTCAGCAGATAAACTAATAAATAGCCATTTTTCTCTCTCAGGAACTTCCCATTTGTTTGCTTTCATATATACTATGTTATACGTCACAAAATTAAAACACGGTAATGTATTTGATCCTCCTAAGTATGTTAACTCCTGGTAGAGTTAGGACTTCAGTAGAGCAAATAGAGCAACCGAAAAATGACCTTGAACCAAACAGCCTCTCTTGCTTCATCTTTCACACAGTCGTTAAACTCCCCCTACCATGGAATTATTTCCTTCCCGAAACTCACCAAGCTCTTTCTTGCCTCCCTCAGACCATGTCATTTTCTCTGCCTGAAACATGTCATTAAATGACTTGAGAACATCAGAAAGGTCTCTAGGTAGCACAGATGGTCTGCACTTGGCTTGTAGCCCAAAGGTTGCCTGTTCAAATTCACCCAGCAGTACAGTTAAAGATGGCAGTCTGGTGGACTATGTTCCCTAAAAATTACAGCTAGTCCCACCTGGAGCCTACCGAGTCCCCACAAATGAACACATACACAAATAAATGCCTCAAAAATGACTTTAGAATATCAGAGCTACACATAGTGAACCTAATTAAATAAATGTTATAATTTGAGCATATAGCTTGATATGACGATACCTAATCAGTAAGTGAGGAGGAGCTCTGGTAGCATAGTGCCTAAGGCACTAGACTGCTAACCAGAAGGCTGGCGGTTCAAACCCACCAGCCACTGATCGGAAGGAAGGTTGGGCATTCCTACTTCCGTAGTGATACTGCCTCGGAAACCCAAGGAGGGGTCGCTATGAGTCGGGGCCGACTCGATGGCAAATAACAACAACAATCAGTAAGTGGGGAGCGCTGGTGGCGTAGTGCCTAAGGCATTTTGACTGCTAACCAGAAGGCTGGTGATTCAAACCCACCAGCACTCCCCAGAAGGAAGACTGAGCAATCTACTTCTGTAGAGATGTTGTTGTTGTTATGTGCCATCGAGTCAGACCCAACTCACAGCGACCCCTCCTTGGGTTTCCGAGGCAGTATCACTACGGAAGTAGATTGCCCAACCTTCCTTCCGAGGAGTGGCTGGTGGGTTTGAACCGCCAGCCTTCTGGTTAGCAGTCAAATGCCTTAGGCGCCTTGAAAACCCAAGGAGGGGGTCGCTATGAGTCGGAATGGACTCCAGGACAGTGAGTTTGGGTGTTTTTTTTTTTTTTTTTTTAATCAGTAAGTAAATGTACCAGTTAGAGAAAAGTGATAAGAGTCAAAAAGAAGTTAAAAAAAAAACAAACAAAGAAAGAAAAACTTTCATTTGAAAACAATATATAAAAGAAGTTAATCTACTATTATCAGAAATACTATTTTTGTGGACAGTGGAAGGAAGAAGATATATGTAGCCATGTATTGACTCACAGGGCGTGGGGCAGATGGTCGCTAAAATAAACTCTTCTGTTTGAAACTGCATGCACTGTTCCACCCATCGCATCATTTAGACTTCCCTTTGCCTCCCATAGCAGAAAGTTTCTGCTAAATCAGAGGGTTCAGCTGTTAAAATACTCATACTCTCAAACTGAAAAGGAACATGAAATAGATGAACCACAGAGAATGTTTAAATAGAGGAAATGTGGTGATTCTAGACAAAGTAATTTGTCAACACTAGTGGAAACAAGAGCAACTGTAATGTTAAACTGAGCACCATTCAGTATTTTTATGAGTATTTATGCTGGAGAAGGGAATTTTAAGATGTCTAAGACCTCTTCTAGAAAGGAGAAATTCTTTCCAAATAAATGATATAGTGTTAAAGACACAGGAGCCAGCTTAAAGGGGCTCCCACAGGCTAAATTGTGAAATTTTGGGTATTTAAAAGGAGAAAAATTATAACTCACTAAAATAAATTGTTTGAAGTGCATTGTTGTTGTTAGGTGCCATTGAGTTGGCTCCGACCCATTGCGACCCTATGTGCAACCGAACAAAACACTGTCCAGTCCTGCGCCAGCCATACAATCCTTGCTATGCCTAAACCCATAGTTGCAGCCACTGCGTCAATCCATCTCGTTGAGGCCCTTCCCCTTTTTTCTTGACCCTCAGCTTTACCAAGCACGATATCCTTCTTCAGGGAGTGATCCCTTCTGACAGTATTACCAAAGTTGGTGAGACAAAGTCTGGCCATTCTTGTTTCCAAGGAGCATTCTGGCTGCACATTTTCTAGGATAGATTTGTTAGTTCTTGTGGCAGTCCGTGATACTTTCAGTATTCTTTGCCAACACCACAACTCAAAAGCATCAACTCTTCTTTGATCTTCCTTATTCATTGTCCAGCTTTCACATGCATATAAGGCTATGGAAAATACCATGACTTGGGTTAGATGCGCCTTAGTCTTCAAAGAGACATCTTTACTCTTCAGCACTTGAAAGACGTCTTTTGCAGCAAATTTGCCCAGTGGAGTACGTCATCTGATTTCTGGCCTGCTGCTTCCATGGGTGTTGATTGTCGAACCAATTAATAGGAAATCTTTGACAACTTCAATCTTTTTTCCATTTATCATGATGCTGCTTATTGATCCAGTTGTGAGGATTTTTGTTTTCTTTATGTTGAGATGTAATCCATACTGCAGACTATAGCCTTCAATCTTCATCAGTAAGTGCTTAAAGTAATCTTCACTTTCAGCAAGCAAAGTTGTTTCATCTGCATATCACAGGTTGTTAATGAATCTTCCTCCAATCTTCATGCCATGTTCTTCTTCATATAGTCCAGCTTCTTGGATTATTTGCATACAAATTGAACAAGTATGGTGAAAGGATACAACCCTGACACACTCCCTTTCTGATTTTAAAACATGAAGTACCCTCTTGCTCTGTTTGAACAACAGCCTATAAAAGGTTCCTCATGAGCAAAAGTAAGTGCTCTGGAATTCCCATTTTTCTCATTGTTATCCATAATTTTTTATGATCTACACAGGTGCATGCTTTTACTTGTCAATAAAACACAAATAAACATCTTCTTGGTATTCTTTACTTTCAGCCAAGATCGATCTGACATCAGCAGTAATATCCTTCATTCCACATCCTCTTCTGAATCTAGTTTGCATTTCTGGAAGTTTCCTGTCAATATATTGCTGCAACCATTTAAAAATTATCTTCAGCAAGATTTTACTTGTATGTGATATTAAAGATATTCAATAATTTCCACATTCTGTGGGGTCACCTTTCTTTGGAATGCATACAAATATGGATTTCTTCCAGTCAGTTGGCCAGATAGCTGTCTTCCAAATTTCTTGGCATAACTGAATGAGTGCCTCCAGTGCAGTAGCCATGCATAATGTTACTCAACTAATGACACTCAAAAGGAAATTTTAACATGCATTGTAATTTTTTTAAATATTGTTTTTTTTTTACCTGTTATCATGTTGGTGTTAATTTTGTTGCTTTGTCTTCTTTATTTATTTATTTATTTTTCCAGTTACAGTGGAATTGACCTCGACTCATGGCCACCTCAAGTGTGTCAGAGTAGAATTGTGCTCCATAGGGTTCTCAATTGCTGATTTTTCAGAAGTAGGTTTCCAGGCCTTTCTTCTAAGGCTTCCTTGGGTGGACTTGAACCATTTGGTTAAAGCTGAGCATGTTAACCATTTGCAAAACCCAGGAACTCCTCATTTATTATATAAGGAGCTCTGGTGGTGTACTGCCTAATGCATTTGACTGCTAACCAGAAGTAAGTATGTTAATGTACTCAAATATACATTAAAAAAAATCCATTTATGGATAGATACCACTAGAATGACCCCAAATTAGTAACCAATGAGCCAGATAGAAGTATGTAATAAATTCAGGAGCCAATGGGATGACCTTAAAATAATGCAGAAGTCCCTCAGGCAGTAAAAAGATTTGTTGTTGTTGTTATGTGCCGTCGAGTCGGCCCCGACTCATAGCGACCCCTCCTTGGGTTTTCAAGGCAGTATCACTACAGAAGTAGGCTTGCCCAACCTTCCTTCCGAGGAGTGGCTGGGTGCCAGCCGTCTGGTTAGCAGGCAAGTGACTTAGCCACTATGCTACCAGAGCTCCTTATTTAGGGGGGCTTGATATTTCAGATTTTATCTGTTTAAAATAGATGGTAAAAGAAGAATTTAAAAATAGATTAAAGCAGTAAATTTTATACCTATTGTTGTTGGGTGTTATTGAGTCAATTCCAACTCATAGCAACCCCAATTTTTATGACTAAACAAAACTAATAGCACATGAAGGACATGGCACACAGTAATTAGAGGTGGGAAACTCCTATTGATATATTATATACATATTTCATCATGCCCAGCTGTGGCAAAGTAGAAATACCTTGTATATATGTAAGCCTCAGGTCCCATGTCTCAATTTCAGAATCGTTATCAATAAGTAACAGTATTATGGTCTTGCATTTTTTTACCTAGGAGTCCCATTAGATCTGAGAAGGTAAACCTCCTTCCCTTAGGACGTGACTTTCTAATCCCTGAGAAAAGTAAGGATACAGTGTAGAGATAATGAGATAAGCTCATACTTCTGTAACACTCAAGGTAACCAACATGTTTGGTATTTTAAATACCTATAATATTAAGAGAATCTAGCATGTTCAATGTTTACTTCTGACTTAAAATGCATAATTAATTTTAAACTGATTTAAAGTTGAAGAGAATTTGATTAATTTTTTAAATGAAATGGGATATTTAAAAGAACTTGACTTGCCACATGTATAAGTTTAATTGCATAGATTTCCAGTGTTATTTAGAGACTTAGGCAAGTCTTGTTATAATTGTAAATTTGTCCTGTCAGGCATTCAAAGTACTTAAAAATGAAATTGAATTTATTCATTTTATTAATGCAAGTTAAAATGGTTCAGGAAATTTAATTAACTGAGCTTATAAATTAGGACTAATTATTTAGGATATTTAGTATGTTGAGTTTGAACTAAGGTGATTGTTATTTTAATATATTTATAAGTAGTAGATCAAGATTTACAAGTTGCGTTGGAAAGCTTAATAAAATGAAAACCAGGTTTTTTCATTCTAGTGTTGCTAATTTGGATATTAATTTTAAACCAAAGTGGCCATAAATGTTTCTCTATACAAAGGTTCTCTCGAGACACCAGAAGCTCACACTGACCCAGTGTTCTTTCCCCTACTCCCCCTCCCTGCCAGCTCCCTCCTACCATGTTCAGGCCTCAAGTCACTTCTCCAGGAAGGTCTTTACCAACCCACCATCCCTCATCTAAATTACCTCCCCTCAGCAAACTCACGAAGACTTCTTAGCCAGAACCAAACACCTCGAGGGAGTGTGTCACTGGGCCTGCAGGCTCAGGACCATAGCAGTGGGGAAGATCAAGATTAATATTGGCATAACATAGTCCAGAAAGGCATTGTTCTGCATCCTACTTTGGTGAGTAACAGCTGAGGTCTTAAAAGCTTGCAAGCAGCCATCTAAGGTGCAACGATTGGTCTCTTCTCATCCAGAGCAAAGAGGAAATGAAGAAAATCAAAGACACATGGAAACAATCAGTCCAAGGGACTAGTGGGCCATGTGAAGCTCAGCCTCCATGACCCTGAGACCAGAACTAGTTGATGCCCAGCCACCACTGCCAAACACTCTGAAAGGGATCACATTAGGAGATCCTGGATAGGATGGCAGAAAAATGTGGACTAAAACTCAAAATAACACAAAAGACCAGCTTGCAGGTCTGATAGAGACTGGTGAAATGCCCGAGACTATGACCTGTAGTCACCTATCAAGCCTAGAAAAGAACTCATTCCTTTGGCTCAGCTGTCAGCCAAACTATAGATAGATGCATAGTGCCTAAGGCACTTGACTGCTAACCCACTGCTAACCCACCAGCCAATCCTCAGAAGGAAGTTTGGGCAATCTAGTTCTGTAGTGATACCACCTCGGAAATCCAAGGATGGGTCACTGTGAGTCAGGTCTGACTCGATGGCACAGAACAACAACAACATGAGCTGAACAATAACACCTGGGAGGGATGCACTCCTCAGAACAGTTAACCATAAGAGATCAAAAGGGCAGCACTTCCCCAAGGATAAAACTCAGAAGGCAAGAATGGATACAAAAGAATGACAAAGGGAAATGGTAATCACAGGGAGGAAGTAGAGAGTGTTGTTACATTGCAGGGATTGCAATGAACATCAGAAGTAAAACGGGTATGAACTGTTCAGTAGAAACCCAATTTGCTCTTTAAACTTTCACCCAAATCACCACAAAAAGTTAAAAATTAATTACTTCCCCTCCCCCATGAGTCAGTATCATCAACTCAACAGCAACTGGTTTCCCCACCCCAACTTTTTGTTTCCTCCTGCCTTTTCCTTCATAACACTACAATTTAGAATTATACATTTATTTGTGAATCTGGGATTGTTCAAATATCTGCTTCATGAAACTAAGCTCTATGGAAGCAGGAAATGCTTCTGTTCTAGTGTAAGCATATAATAAATATAGATTGAATAAGTAAAGGGATTTGGGGAGCTGAAGTAACTACGGAATGTAATAAACTGGCACAACCAGGTAAGGAAGGGATCCCTGGTGGTGTAGTGGG